AGAATCTTGAAAAAAATTCATCGATAGCTGCACATGCATGGGACAAAAACCACAATATCGATTGGGACAATATGTGTATTCTAAAAACTAACATGAACAAATGGAAAGAGAGACTTATAACAGAATCGATATTCATTAAAGTCACACCGGATACATGTAACAAGGGTGACTCAGCACAACTATCAACAACTTGGAATATAATTCTGAATACAAAAACATGAATGAGCAAAAATAATGAACTATATATACGAGTACAAATCATAAATGTGTGAATCAAACAATTCCAACAGTGGTGTGATCACGGTCAGTAATTTTGCTCAAAATATTACCAATAACAAAACTTATCATTGTGTGTAAACTATTGAAATATAATTATATTTAGCGACCCCTTAGACATAATTGAATAATGATTATAACAACAAGCCAAAAATAGTGAAAATAAAATGAATTATCTCGTATGGAAATTAAGGTAGCCCAATGACTCAAACAGACCGCCTTTTTCTTTGCAATATATGGTCTAGGAGTAAAATAGATAATAATTACAAAGGATGTATGCCTTGATGACCATTTACGAACATTTTCTTTCTGATGACGTAGAAACATCCTATTGGTTCTGGTTGTGTGGTGTGTGGTGTTTGTGTGTGTGTAATTCCAACTGCAAGTCAACTTTTAGATAGAGTGTGAAGTAAAGTCTACAGTGTTCCGTCCTTTAATCCTTCCTTGATACAGGAAGCGAAAATGTTCCAGATGTAAGGAAAGAGGCGACGGGGGCGATGTGGTGGAGAATGTGCGCTTGATAGCTGACCAAAGGTTTTGAGCTGTCAGCTGCTTGATTTGATCATGCTTAAACGAATGGTAGTTTAATAAAGACAGATTTGTTATGCTATGGAAGTTGTCTTTTCAAGAGGCAGTCTCCTCCTTGCTGTGATAATGTGATGAAGTTTTCGGGATAAGCGTTAGCCAAGAAAAACTGGATTTGTGTGTATCCACCGTGGCTCATCCATTAGTGTGTCGTTCGTGTTCGTTCGTCTTATGGACTTAGAATATGCAGATGACATAGTCCTGTTAGGGGAGGATGCTGACAAAATGCAGAGTCTTCTGAACACCTTGAGCAGCAATCTTCATATGTTTGGCATGCGATTCGCCCCTGTAAAATGTAAGATGCTGCTACAGGACTGGAATACGTTTACCCCTAGCTTAGTAATAGGGAGTGAAGTGATAGAACATGTTGACCACTTCACCTATTTGGGAAGTTGTATCAGCACCAACGGATTGATTGGTGACGAAATCTCAGCACGGATCCAGAAAGCTCGAGCTGCTTTCGCTAACTTACGCCATCTCTGGCGTAGGCGTGACATCCGGCTATCAACCAAGGGACTTGTGTACTGCTCAGCAGTTCACTCCGTCCTTCTCTATGGCTCTGAAACATGGCCAATACGAGTTAAAGACATGAAAAGGTTGACTGTTTTTGATCATAGATGTCTACGATCTCTTTCTCATGTTAGGTGGTATAATAAGGTAAGTAATGTTGACGTTAGGCGTAGAGTGTTGGGCAAAGAGGGAAAATCAATCGACGAGGCTATAAAGTTACATAGATTGAGATGGCTAGGTCACGTGCTGCACATGTCTAACCATCGCCTCCCCCACCTCAACGGGCATTACTAGCTGATATAGGTGCAGGTTAGAAAAGAGTAAGTGGTGGCCAAACAAAAACATGGCCTCATCAATCCATGAAATCCCTGACAGTTAAACTGAGTCAGGTAGGGAGATGCAGGCTTCCGGGTTGGGGCCCTCGGGACTCTAAGAATCAATGGCTGGAGACAATAGGTGACATGGCTCAAAATCGTTGTCAATGGCTTACGCAGATGTATTCAGTCTCTGTAATCTTTCATATTCCTTTCTACCATTACTCATTCTGTTTCATTCTTATACTTGTCAAAACTCTATTGATTCTCTTCACTCATCTTCTTGTCTACGTTTGTGTGCTCTTTGGAACGTGGCAACTCGAACTGCTGCACTTCGGTGCCAAGTTCTATTTTGAATCCAGACAGACAGACAGTGTCGTTCGTGCAAACTGTAGGGGCCCTTGACAATAAGCATTTCACTAGGAAATGTCTCATACACTCGATGTTTGCTAGCAAAATACGGATAACCTTATTGTTCAATCGTCCATCGTGGTCAATGAAATACCTAGTTTGGTATTCAATTGGAATTCTGAGGTCATCTAAATAATTTGGATGAATATTATTAGTGAAGTTTCTTTTTCAATCGACTCACTATTGTCACGAATATAATTGATTTTGTGATCTAACATGTTCCACTGCACAAGACTGTTGATTTCATTTGTGATTATATCAAAAACAATGGACTACGATTGCCTATGCCTGTCACTTACACTTATTACCTTGACATGTACAGAGAATATCAGATTTATTGGGATCGATGGAGAACTTCTTCTGTACTTCGACGGATTTGAAGCTCCTGTTCAAATCTGACTTGACATTCTCAGCTCATTTGCTTTGCACCAAGATCACATATTTATTGAACGATTCTCTTTCACTTGATGATAGTTCAGAAAGAGGAGAAGACCTCTGTTATATATTTCTCTGCAACTCCAATATATACGCGAGCTAATAGAATCAATAAGGTTATTAGTGTGACGTTGGAGTGTTTTGGAATTTCGATAAATATGATGCCTTTGGAGTGCCTTCCAGAATCACTTTGGATATCGATGATTCTTAATACAGTTTTCAAAGAAGTCCAATTTCGCATTCACTTCAGAAAGTTTGACAGAGTAACGCAGAAACCCATTACTGAGTTCCTTCTTTGTCGTAGGGTCTTAGCATTTTTTCAAATCGTGGAAAATGCCCATCGGGACATTCGAGGAAAAAGAACAAGAAGTTCAGGAAAGATGGCGATCTTTTCGGCGATTTCATTCTCAAAGACTGTACAATTGCATGTATATACATTAGTTTACATGGATACAATTATTATTTATTTAATTCCACATAGCAAAGAAGAAGATAATAATTTTCAACTTGATGTGAAAGTGTGAAGGTACGAATATAGATTACAAGGGGATTAGAGACAAGATTACATTGGATTAGAAAACAGTTACAACGTAAAGAAAATCAATATTTGATAACTGGAGAAATAGTTCTAAAGGCGAATAAAAAGGGTAACAATTATTTTCAACTTGATATAAATTACAAGATGCTTAGAAACAAAACTTACGCAAGGATAGGACGAATTACAGGTGTGAACCAAATGAGCATGGAAACAAATTGAAATCAAAATTTTCAACTTGAAATGTAAGTTAGGAGGGGGTGTGAATATAGATTACAAGAGGCAAAAGAAACACACACTATGAAACACATCACACTAAAAACCTTATTGATTCTATTAGCTTGCGTATATATTCGAGTTGCAGAAAAATATATCACAGAGGTCTTCTGCTCTTTCCGAACTATCATCAAGTGAAAGAGAATCGTTCAATGAATATGTTATCTTGGTGTAAAGCAAACGAGCTGACAATGTCAAATCAGATTTGAACAGGAGCGTCAAATCCGTCGATATATATATGTATATATCAGTTTCATTTTCCCAAGAAAAGGCATACAATTGATGGTGGTACAGTGAGGAGTCCTCTTGGACGGACCTCTGTTAAATAGATGTATTTATGTCTAAATTGGAGAAAGAAGTGTAAGTTGTGCTAGGAAACGTTCCCCTGTATATACATTAATGAATGATATACCTATTATTGATGCAATTAGTGAGTTGATCGAAAACTTGATTACTCCAGGTATTTGAGTTGTGACCTCAGAATTCGAATTGAATAACACAATGTGACGTTAAAAATAAATCATCTCAGTTTCTCAGATGATTTATGCTTTTAATGTCACACAAACTCGGAAACTTGCAGACGAAAGTCGATAAACTGGCTGAAGAAGCGGACAGACAGCGAAGACAGGACTCCAGGTGAACGTAGACCAGACGAAGGTGATGAAGATAACCAACCTCCAGAATCATCATTAACGGGAGAGATTTGACAGAGGCGACTTCCTGGCTTCATTCATCTGGCCAGGAAGCGCGGTTTCAACCACAGGTATGCGGACATCACGGATAAAGATGTCAAAGTCAGCCAGAATCGGAAAGGCAAGGTAACTAGTTTGGAAATCTTCCGCACTCAGCCGACATCAAGAACAAGAATCGGATATTCAACACAAATGTGAAGTCAGTCACTCACTTCTCTTATACGGGTCAGAATCTTGGCCAGCATGTCACGAAAAGGATTTCCTACAGGCTATTGCAGACTGTTATCAACAGCTGCCCTCTCTGCCTCCCTATTGAAGATCAAATGACTGGCCAGAAGGCATTAGCAACAAGAAACTCTAGCTGGCAACAAACCAACAGGCAAGAACCAATTGCTCAAAAAATATGTAGGAGAAAATGGAAATGTATTGGGTATATTTTGAGGAGACTATCGAATGACATCGCGAGCAATGCTGGCTGTCGCTCGCCTGGAATCCTAGAAGGAAGCGATGAGTGGGTAATCAGTGCGAGGGTGACATGGAGGAGGTCGTCTTGTGAGGAGGAGGGAGAGTAGATGAGAGATTATGTGCAATCGTGTACCCAGCTGAAGAGGACAGCAGAGAATAGAAGAATGTGTAGATGTTTTGTTCACGCCTTGTGTTCCACTTGGAACCCAAGGGAATAATAATGATATACCAAACTGGATTTGTTGTGTATTTCAATGACTAGGAGAGACGATGGAGCCATAAAACAGTTAGTAGTTCGCAAGCAAATACAAAGGAGATAATATCTTCATTTCATCAGTTTTGTTCCTATCTAGTATAAACACGTCCCCTGGTGATGAAATGCCTGTTCCCAAGGTCCTATAAAATCTACACGATTATTTTATTTATTTATTTATTTTTGTTTTTTTCACCTTGAGTTTTATGAATTTTTAATTCCGAAAAATATATATATTATTCCTTCAGTTCCCCACTTTAACAATTCTTCCATCAAATCATCGATTTTTAATCTGCTTATATGATTGCCTCGATATCAGCTGAAGAGTTCCAGCGTTTTCAATCACAACTGCTCGATTTACGTGAAGCGCAGATAACAGCTAATGAGGCTCGATTGAAAGCAGAGAAACGTGTAAAACAATTAGAAGAAGAACTTTCACACACTAAATTAGCTTTAATTGAAGCTCAATCAACTTCAGCCAATCGTTCACGTCTTGAAGAGCTGCGACAAGAGAATACACTTTTACGTGATAAACTATTGAGTACAGAATCATCATTCCAGCTGCAGTCGTCAACTCTTCGCGCTGAATGTCATCGGTTAACAAATGAATTAGACGAATTACAACAAAAACTATCACAGAGTAATAATAATAATAATAATGATAATAAAGTGAAAAATTCAAAATTATGCCAAACAATCAATAATACACTCAATTATCAACATAAATCTATTCAAGTCAACTGTGATGATCCTGATGATTATCAAATTCCCGCTTTTTTAAGACAGAATATTGAACAACTTGAACATTCCTTGGAAACCGCCAATTTAACACATCATCGTTTAAAACAAACTATTGAACAATTGAATAGTCGGGTTACTCTACTTGAGAATAAATTATCCGTGGAAATATCTAACTATCAAAATCAAATAGATCAATTGAATAATGAGAAAAATTCCCTGTGTACAGAATTAAATACATATCAAGAAAAGATGATGCAATCTGAGGTATTGGAAAAAGAATTACGCAATCAAATTGATTCGGTGAAACGTCGTAGTGAGAAACTGAATCATGAGTTAAGACGTCAATTGAATCGATTTCTACGTGGTTGTAATAATAACAATAGTGATGTAGAGGCTGCAAATCTACGGAAAACATCACTACACTCTTCATCTTCGTCGTTGTCGAGTAATTTTAATCTAACCGCGACAACAACAACAACAACGATGCCAGGTTCTTCAACATCTAATGAAGTTAATTCTGTAAATGCTATGAATGGACAATTGACAAAGGATCCTTCAGGGTATTCTAATATTTCTACACCGAAGAATTCATTTCATGAAATGCCTCCGGGTTTCTTTTCAACAGCTGACTTTAAGGTGAGTTTATACTTTCGCATGTCTGTCTGTTTGTGGTATTTTTTTAAATATAACCGACCCCCATTGACCACCTGGTACAACCGAGGTTGGGGAAGAATTTGGCCTACTTCTTGAAATGTTCTGATGTAGCCGTGCGTCTTCTTAGCCTCTGCTAGGTAGCTCCTATTCAGTGCTTTCACATCATGGCGCGTGGATGTGAACGTCTGGCGCTTACAGCTGAACTGGTGGACATATAGGTAGGTCTACCCAGTAGGAGAGCTTGAAATCCTTGGTTCTAAACACATGGATTCCAGAATTCGAAACGATCGAATGATTGTGTATAAACCTGTCTGTTTCCGTCACCGGAAACTATGAGAATACAGCTATTGAGGCGCTGCTCCACTGCCTTGTAGCTCAGAGTTCAAGTCAAAAGTTCGATGTGAGATGGTGGCTCTATAAAGCAACCACTTGAAACTAGCCGTCTTTAACAAGAATGGTGTTTGCATTCTATCTCCCGTGTTGAGTGGTAAAATATGGCAAGAAATATTATGGTAGTTAGACATCGAGTATTAGGTAAGAAGGGAAGTCAATTGAGGTGGTTGTGCATGCGAAAACACCGCCTTCATGGAGAGGCAATGTGTTAGCTGACATAAGATCACGTTGGAAAAAGCTTAGAGATGGTCGAAACACAACTTGTAACCGGTCCATGAAGTCTCTGACTGTCAGCTTGAGGCAGCTACTTGGTTCCGACATAGACATCTGTACAGATGTAGCACATACAGCGAGGGAAGAGATTAAAGAGAGATTCGTCAAAAGACAGATAATAAACAGAATATTGAGTGAGGCAAAAAGAATAGTAATATGGAAAAACCAATGTGATAAATCACAAAAAGTGAATACATCAGCACCAGCCGTTGACAACGATTTTCAGCCACATCACCAGTTGTCTCCAGCCGCCAGAGGTTATCACCATCCCGACCTCACCAACCAGTCAGTCAGGAAGTCTACAGCTCCCTACGTAACTGGCTGGCTCAAACTAACTGTTGTGGATTTCATTGACTGATGAAGCCATGTTTTCGTTTGACCACCACTAGCTAGCTCTTTTCCAGCCTGATCCATCCTATGTCAGTCAGGTAACATTACCCGTCGAGGGAGGTGACGGCTAAGCTAGGCATGCGTAACGCAGGTCCTAGCCACCTTCATCTGTATAACTTCACAACCTCTTCGATTGATTTCCCCTCCCACCTCGACCGATACCTAACGTCAATATTGCTCATCTTATTATCCCACTTACCACACGGGCTATATAACGCAGGCACCTATTATCGAACACATCTGGGCCGGCCTTCTCATGTCTTCCACTTTCAATGACAATGTCTCTCACAGCCACAAAGGAGGACAGAGGGAACTGCTAAGCAGTACACACGCCCCTTTTAGCATCTCATGGACCTCAATCAAGTGGCTGCCTCAAACTGGCAGTCAAAAACTTCATGTACCGGCTACAGGTTGTGTTTCGACCACCTTAAAGCTTTTTCCAACGTGATCTTATGTCAGCTAACACATTGCCTCTCCATGAAGGCGGCCTCGTCTATTGATTTCCCTTCTTTACCTTCAAGTAGGCCGCCTCCTAACATGTCTATAGTATTCTTGATAATTTCTCATGTTGACTAATCCCATGTATTCGTCTTTTTTCTTTCTTCTTTCTCAAATATGAATACAAAAAAACAATAGGCAATTATTGATCGAATGTCAGAAGTTCAAGAGGAGAATTGCACTCTGCGACGATTGAAAAAGCGTTTAGAAGCTGATTTAACGGCTAAAAGTTTAGTTATTCAAAAAGAACTTGATAACTATCTGAAATCACCATCACCATTATCATCACAAAAGCCTACTCCCCCTCCACCTCCTACAGCAGCAACAGCTGCGTATTCTACAATTGTCACTGGATCAACAGCATCGGCGATGACGACAACAATAGGATCCTCATCATCATCAACGTCAGGGAGTCAATATCGAGCTGTTCGGAGTAATTCGCATATAGCTACCTCTTCATCCTCTTCACCCTCCACCTACTCTTCAACAGCTTCGCCATCAACATCTTCAGTTGCAAATAATCCATTTACAAGTTTAACATGGTTTCCATTCATGAGAAGTACAATGTCGAATTCTACTGACTCCTCCTTCACCTCCACGTCGACGTCGTCTATGACATTATCTAGTGTTAATATACAAACTGTGAATCGTTTAAAATTGATGTGTGAAGAATTACTCACAGAAAATATTCAATTAAAAGAACAATTACAACAGACAAGTCAATGAAAAAATCAAAATAAAATAAGTTTAATATGTGTATATTGATGTATTGAATTCCCGCGGATATTATTACCTCCAGAGGAAGTAACTTAATGAAACGGACGTGTTTGTTTTTTCTCTATTAATAGACAGAAAGCAGCGAGGTAACGGGGGGTTGAGGTGGGTGGTTTCTTGGTTGGTTGGCTGGCTGGCGGGTAGCAGGATGTAGGAGGACTGCCCGCGGATGCAGCATCAACATCACGCTCTTGCTTTTGTTTAACTTTATCACCTTGATTTTAACCTTTAATTAATTTTAATTTTGTTAAAAAAGGGCGTTGACCCTGTTTTCTGAAGGCTATTCATTCATTATTACTTTTTTTTCCTTTTTTTAAAGATCTCATTTGGTGATTTTACTGTATGATTTTTAGTATCCTGTAATACGATATATATATACTACTGATACCACTGTGTTGTCAAGTAGTATTGTACGCTTTTTAATGGGGTGTATTTTACAGATGTGTTTGTTGACTGACGACCACTCTGTGTTCCTCTTATTACAGTAATATACATATATATACGCCTATATGTATATTGTATACTAAATACTGGTGAGATACATGCCGGCGGTTGTTTTTTCCTTTATTTGACGAAAAGCTTTTTCTTTCCGTCGTCTTGGTCATTGTCGTCTCCTGCCTCTTCTTCTTCTTCTATTCATGGCTCTTTCAAGTTGTTCTTGATTAACAACATTCCACTCCATTCACCATATCACTCTTTTTCCTTATTATATATATATTGCACAGATTACTATTATTATTATTACTACTGTTTATGTAGATATAATTTATTGACTTGATCTGATTTAGTAAAAAATAAACCAAACCAAAGTTTATTGATTTTTAAGTTAGTTTTGATTTTTCCGCCGACTGATTGATTGATTGATTGATTAATCGGAGCGAAGTGTTCAGCCTCCATGTTGACATGTGTCAGCTCTCTTCTAAAATCCTGCGGATACTTCTTCAACGATTATGCCTGAATGAGGATTAGCTTGAAGTAGATTTCGGTATGTATATATATATATTGTCGTTACAATAATGATAGCCAGTTATGCGGCGGATACACTTTTTTTACGTAGAATAACAGATCAGCAGTTATGGCGTGTCAAAATAAATAGTCGTATTTGTGTGACAAATGTGCTCTGCGCTGAAATCGATTACAAAATATCTCGGTAAAATGGGAGACAATGGTGGTGATTAGTCATAATAGATTTATAGAGTGTGGGTTAGGAAAATTGACGAGTCAGTTCAAGGTTACAAAAGGTGTCATGGGTGAGTGGCTAGTACAAAGTACAAAGACTGCAATGAGAAGTTCATAATGAAATAACGAATATGTGAAATGAAACAGGTGGAGGCATATATTGAGAAAAGAGATAATATCGCTAATAATAAGTCCGGATAGTATAAATGAAAAATTCGATAGTATTGAAAGAATGTTTGCATGAAGGGCATAAATTATGACAAATAATAATAATTGTAATAATAAGCAAAGGAAAAAAACAAACCAAGAGGGTTAAGGGGAAGAAGCATTCTCGGTGAGAAGAAGAAGAAGAATCAATCCAAGTTTGGCCACGGTAGGAACAGCGGTTGAACGTGTTCTTTGTGGATACAAAGTTCCGGTTTAGTCGATCTTATTGCTACAGCTTCAGCTATGTGTAGCAGACGTAAGCGGCCTGTACGTGCTAATGACTTCGGAATTCGGTATATAACCAACCCTGAAAGCTGTGTTGTGGCGTCGATGCGATGTCTAGTATCTCGACCAAGTGTGACAGGATCGAGCTATTTTATGCTGCTAATAGTTGGAAAATACAGGAGATACAAATTTCACCGTCTTCTTTGCAACTTGTTAACTACTGGGTGTATCCTGTATTCCTATTAAAATTTAAACGGCACAACGTTATCAATTAGACAGATTAGACACTATGTGGGTACAGGAGGTGTCAGTTATTATTTGTGTTTATTGATTCGATTTTTATTTTCTTATAAAAGAAAAGAAGGCGTTCAGCGAAGAGACTCTTTTCGGCGAATTCATTCACTGAGCTGTACAACCGCATATAAATACAATTTTGCTTGTATGTGTGTGTACATTAGATTTATAAAGTTTAGATAATTATGTAATATAAGTATTATTTGGCTTGGAAACAAACGTTTAAGATAGAAAATAAAGTAGAATTGATTAAGTGAATTGGATGACGTAATACAGTTGAGTAGAATTCAGATTAGGTCAGGTTGGCAACAGTGTTAATGAGTGATGTTTAAAATCAAATAAGGGTAGGGGTAAAGAATAATACAGTTGAAAATAAGTAAGTTAATCCGATGACGTAATGTAGTTGACTAGAAATTGGACGTGGGTGAAGTTAGCAACATTGTTAATGAGGGTAGAAATTACAAAAGGGTGGGGTAGAGAATAATACAAATGAATATGTGAAATAATAAAGTGCAAAAGACAAAATAATACAATTAGTAAGACTGAGATTAAGAAAGATTACGTCCATTGAAGATTTAATGAATGAACGAATTTCTTTTGTATGCAGAGTTCAGGATTTAGTAGATGAATTGCCATTGCTTCTGCGATGTGGAGAAGTTTGATCCGTACACTTTTAGCAAGATTGCCTTGTATTCTGTAGATAACTTTGAAGCTTATTTCTGGTTCGACTTGGTGTCCAGAGTCGATCAAATGTTCAAGGATCGAGCTGCGGGGGCATCGGTTTTCTCCTTTATAAAACCATGAAGGTAAATGTTCGCTGACGCGTTTGGATAGCGAACGCTGAGTACGGCCGATATACCTGGCTCCACACGAGCAGGTGAATTGGTAGATGCACATAGATGAGGCCAACAGCGGTAGCTTATCCTTCACGTTCATACGAATCATTGGTCTCGTGGAGAACGTCAGTCGTAATTCAGCTGCAAAGAAGGTTTTCTTCAATGAGCAGGAGAGCCGACTTCTCAGTATTTCTGTAGATTGGCCTCCACTGAACTGTAGGTTCATATAGAGAAGACTTTTTGGAGCACTGGGTGTGGGCGGCTCCTCTGGTCTGGGTTTCATTGATTTTGTGATAAATCTTTTTGGATAGCCATTTTCGAGGAGGATTTTCTTGAGAGTGTTCATTTCATCTATGGCATCCAGGCTGCAAATTCTACGTATTCTGTGGCTTAGTGAATGTTGAGTGACTGATTGAATGCTGGGATGGACGGATGGATGGGAGGGAATGTTCGATCTCTGTTAACATCAATCTGTTATGAGCTTGTCAGTAGTTGATAGGAACTTGTCGACAGGCGGATATCACCGAGTGAAGTTATACGTGGTTATAATCACATGGACACAATGGACAACTAAACCGATACACCAGATACGTCTATTCATCCTCAATACCATCTGGTTTATTGAACCATATAACAAGTTACCAGATAAGATCAACCCTGGCACCTGTGACTGTGTTAGGGTGCAATTTTATTTGGAGAAAGCAAATCATACCTAGGGCAGTATAAAATACTCCGTTATAGATAAAAATTTTATTTTGATAAAATCACACAGTATTGTTATACAGTAAGTAATATTTACTGATGTGACCACGTTTCGAGCACAAATTATCATTGCTCCTCATAATCATCATATCAAGGCACTACTCACACAACTTTCTTGCTTCATTTATATACATGAGTAAAAATTGACGATTAGACATTTGAATAAAAATCAATATGAGATAATGTACATTCAGAAATAATATTAGTGCTGTCAATAAAATACAATCAGATGGGAAATAAGATGATTTTATAGTAAAATAAATAAATAACTTGTTAGAATGTTATAATATGAATTGAATTTAATACATTGTAACATTATTTATTATCCTCCTCTGATTTGACTGGCGGTAATAATATCTTCCAAATCTCTGGTATGTGCGTTGAGTCACTTCTATTGCATGTGTTGGGTGTAGACTCGATGAACAAAGATTCAATAATCAACCTCTCTCTCCACCCAACTACCTACATTACTCTTTAGAATTTTGACTCTGTCCCACTCACCGTATTGTATGTTTGTGTGTTAATGCATGCAGTGCTATTGCTGAGTATTTTTTCTAAATTGCTTATCTTCGTGGGTGGGATCAATCATTCTAACCTTATTATTATTGTTCCCTTGGGTTCCTAGTGGAACATAGGGCTTCAACTGCACGTCTCCACTTGCTTCTGTCTTCTGCTGTACTTTTCAGCTGCATCCATGTTATTCCACACTGTTTCAACTCCTCTTCACATGATCTGCTCCATGTCACCCTTGGACGTCCCACTACCCGCCGCTTCCCTTTCGGGTCCCACTCGAGCACTGGCCTGATGCGCGATGTCACCAAGCGGAGGCCTCCTCAGCGAGTGTCCAATCCATCTCCACCTTCTCTTGCATATTTGTTGAGCGATTGGTTCTTGTTTTGTTTGTTCCCATACTTTCTTGTTGGTGATTCTTCCCGGCCATCTGATCTTGAGTAGTATAGAGCGAAGACAGTTGTTGATAAAGGTCTGCAACAGGCTGTTGGAAATATTCTTTGTGACCCTCCAAGTTTCTGATCCGTATAGAAGAACTGACTGACTTGACGTTTTTATTGAAAATCCGAATTTTGTTGTTGATGCTGAGTGACGAAGATTTCCAGATTGGTTTCAGGTTGATGAATGTGTTTCTCGCCTTCCCGATTCTCGACTTGACATCCTCGTCTGTTCATCCTGTAGTTGAAACAATGCTCCCTAGATAAGTGAATGAAGTAACCTCTTTCAAACCCCTCCCGTTGATGGTGATTGGCACTGTATGTTGCTGCTGCTGTTGTTGTTTGTTGGTTATTTCCATAACCTCCGTCTTGTTTATGTTCACCTGGAGTCCTGTCTTTGCTACTTCTTCGACCAGTTTGACGGTTTTCGCTTGTAAGTCTTCGATTTTTTGTGACATCAAACATAAATCATCCAGGATATCCCTGTCTTCTCGTTTCCCACTGTCTGACGCATAATCCAGTCCACCATAATTAGGAATATCATTGGTGATAATAAGCACCCTTGTCTGACTCCTGTGTTTACTCCAAACGCCTCGCTGAGTTTTCCGTTGTGGATCACTTGACATGTGCCGTTGTCGTACAGCTGTTGAATAAGGTTGATGAATATTTGGAGCATGGAGTTCTTTATTCCGTTGGGAGAGTTTGATGGAGTTGCGTTGAATCCATATTTTTCAGATTTATATCTGAAACCTGTAAGCTCTTTTGAGAGTGAGTATTGTGGATATATATTTGTCTTTGATTAGACAGTCTTAGTGATGTCGCAGTGTGTTAATTCAAATCCTGTATTGATTCAAGCGTGTTGAAATAAACCAGTCCGTCTCAACAATCTTGAAAATTGGATGATTTGCATTTTAAAAGTGTAAATTTAACAGTCTACCAGTGGTTCAGCGGTGGTAGAATGATGATCACTAATCATGTGAGATAGGTTCGGGGTTCGATTCCCGGATTGACGCACTACGAAATCTCGCCTGGTTCACTAGCCGATAGTTGGAAGACTCAACTCCCTTCACAAACTATGTAAGTGTAGCTAACAGTTTTTAATGACACTCGGATCAGCGCTTAGTTGTCTCTTCACTTTAAAGACAGACTTCATAGTCTCATTGAGAAGTTAGGCACAAAAAATACTTTTGGTGTTTAGTCTCAGGTCTACGCGTACACGAACTGATAAGTGATCGAAGTCCACACAAGTGTTCCGAAAAGGAGCATCGGTCTTCCAACTAACTGCTTCCATTCGCTAACTTATGGCTAGTT